AAAAACACCGGCGCCGGCGTCATGATGGCACCTTGAGGCGGGGTGCATTTTTGCAAGCGCTTTAACGCAATACATGGCGCTTGTTCAGCACCAGCCTTCGGACTTAGTCCGGTAAGATCTGATTTTAACATATGCGATGCATTTGGTGAAAAGCACTTTAACACAAAACTCTTGGCGCTTGCTCAGCACCAGGCTTACTCAGCACGATCATCATTGATAAAGCTATTTTAGCTCAAGATAACTGATAAAAAATCAACAACATGTTTTTGAAAAAAGGTGCTGTGAAAGCGCTTCTTCAGCACATTGTTGGACCTACTATATGTATACCTAATCTAAAAAGCGGCGCAGCAGAAAACATGGGGAAAAAGTTGGGTCGCGCTCATGCTCTGCAGGGGCAGCTTTGGAAAGAGTGGCTTAAGATTTGAAGGCCCACGCAGAAATGAAGTACTTCATCATTGTTGCTTTGATCGAGGCACTATGCGTTCGAGTATCACAGGTGTGCCAACTAAAAGTTCAACACCTAGATCTCCGCAGGAAGCGAGTGTGGTTGGAAACATTCAAAAAGCACAAGGCCTTGTGGAAGCCTATACTTCCATCAACAGTGGCCACTATTGCAGAATGGAAGAAGGAAGGATGGAAGTGGCCCAAAACGGGCTATTTATTTCCTGCACAGGGACGAGGAAAGGGCAAACCCACCACAAAGGACATAGTAGCTCGGCGTATTCGCAAACATCGTGCTGGCTTTGTCAAGAAGTTTCAGGACAGATACCCTGACTTACTCAATGGGCAAGGCATCCGCAGCCACTCTGGCCGGCGGCATTCAATCTCTACTTTTGCAGGTGCTGGGGTATCAGAGCAGTTTGGAATGGTGTGGGCTCAAATCGAATCCCGAAAGGTCTACCAAACCTATGTGGACCTGTTGCCAGAGCAAGTTTTTGTCACCATGGCCAAGGTTGACAAAAAGCTACGCCGGGTACGGTGACCCTGCTCCAGTTTGAGGCCCCGACATGCCTGGATGAATGAGGCCGAGGTTGAACCTGGCAAATGAGTTTGAGCAGCGGCGACAAACAGCACACTGAGGTCTCACAGTCTCACACCACCATTTTTCACCCCCAAGCCAAAGCGCTTTCAGCACTGACTAGCGGAACTGACACGCCTCAAACATATTGCGCATCACTGCTGCCAACATTGTAATTGGAATTGAATTTCCAATGATCTTTCCAAGCTGGCTCTCACTGACGACCTCCTTGGGAAAAGACTTCTTGGGTAGGCCTTGCAAAGCCCACATTTCATGTGTCTTCATTGGGCGGTTGAGCCAGGAGAGCCAATAGCCCTTCGATCCGCACCGGGTCCGTGTAAGGCACGGGGAGTAGTTGAGGTTATACTGCGGCGATGTGCCCCCTACATTCAAAACGTAGTGTTGTTTGGCAGGGCTGCCTCCCTCAGACTTGATCTTTTGGTAGCTCTTCCGGATGTTTTCAAGCTCCGTCTTGTTGAGCTTCTTCATGTTTGATACCATGTTCCCCACATCATCCATGTCGAGAAAGCAGGACAAGGATCGCATGTTCACCTCATGCTAACAGGCGTCCGGCTCAAATAGACCTGTTTCATCCCGTTATAGTAATTAAAGTGCAAACAAATAAGACTTCAGCACAAGGGACGCTGATTGGCCAAGAGAAGTCTGCAATCTTGTGTGAGTTCTTCAGACCCGCCACAAAGATCCTTTCTCTGTTCTGGGGTAGCCCAAAATCGCGGGAGTTCAGACATGCCCATACCACCGTGTAAAGCGGCTTCTTGCTTCCTTTGACTTTCAAGCCCCGCAAGAATGTCATGACCTCAAGCAGCACATTGGGGTGCGCTGTCAGTAGCCCTTTCACGTTCTCCAGCAGAAATGTTGTTGGTTGCTTCTGGGCTATGTACATCAGGAGCCGGTACACAACCGTACCTTGGGCTTCATCGTTGACCCCTTTTCCAAGGCCTTGCAAGCTAAATGGTCCACATGGGAAGCCTCCCAAAAAGAAGTCCACACAAGGGGCATTCTGCACGAACTCGTCCTCAAAGACGTCGTTGTAGTAGAACTTGTGCTGCCACAGGTGTTTGCTAAGCGTGGTGACATGCTTGTCATTGTCGCAGGCAAAGATTGCTGTCGCTTCCACCCCGAGATACTCGGCCGCAAAAAGCTCCGCGCACAAACCCGAACATGCGGAACCAAAAGTCAAAGGTTGGGATCGCTTGCGTTTAGGCATTTTGCCTTACCATTTTCTTGATCCCAGGTGCTGCACAAGCGCTTGCTTTGAAAATGCCAGCCCGAAAATCAACAAACGTGTTTTGAGAAACGATGCTGTGCGGGGCGCTTCTTCAGCACCTCAAGGCTTTACCAAGTTAAGTGGTGCTGCGCAAGCGCTTCTTCAGCACTTCAAGACTTTATTCAGTTAAGCGGTGCTGTGCAAGCGCTTCCTCAGCACATTTTTCCAGCTTCGCAAAGTTGGAAGCTTGATCAGGCTTCAACTTGGATTGGATCAAACGACCTGGCCAGCCCAGTCAACTACACAGTATAACATATAGTGAATTAAATGGTGGACATATCATTCATCATCATACTTTGAAATTAGGGTTTAACTGGGACTCCAGGCTCGTGACATTAGCTCAAAAGCGCAAAATCACTCACCCTTCCTGCAAGTCCTCATCTTCAATGGCTGCATCCTCGTCTTCCTCCTGCATGCCCACCAATGCCTGGATGACATCCGCCTTGCTCTCTGCCTTATTCTTCTTGGGATCTGCTTCACCCTCAGTGCCGCCCGTAGGAACACCATCAGCTGTCTTCCTCTTATTTCCTCCTCGGCCACCACGACCACGCCCCTGGCCCCTCCCCCCTCGACCAGTCGTCTTGTCCTTGTCCTTAGTCTCAGGGGTTTTCTCTGCTGTCTTCCCAATCTTGCTGATCTTGCTCATCAGGCTGGTCCTCAGTCAGTTTGACATAGCACATTACTGTTACTCGTGCTACTTGTAGATCTTGAGTTAAATATGGCCTTCTTATCCACAACTTACTGTATAACTTTAGTAAGTTTCGATAATATGAAATCCTGAAAACTTATTTAAGTTACCGAACCTGTCGTGTTTGTGGAAAAGTTTGGAACTAACAATGTTTTATTGCTGTTTCAATGCATGGGCGCCACGCTGGGTATATATATATATATATTGCACTCATACACAACAAGCGTTCTGTCATTTGTCTGCAAACATACATACAATAAATATGCATATATATATATATAAATATTGTTTTGTTCTTGTAAATTAACCGACAAGCACAACAAACACAAATTAAAAGCCTGAAAGTTTTTCAAGTTATAAGTAACTTTATTCAAATTATACCGTTATACCAGTTATAATATCCCATTCCTGCCTACCAGTTATAAGTACCAATACTCACAATTAATTGCTCAAAACACTGGCGCTTGCACAGCACCGCGATAACACATTGAACTCTTGAGACGGAAAACCCTTGTTGGATTCAAGTGTCAGGGCCACCCGGTGAAGTGGCGAGCTTTGTGTTTGGAACTCCTTGAACACATGCTCCATCAGCTTCAGCCGCAAAGCAGCTCCATGCGAGGCGCTACACCAAAGCCACACAGGGAACTTTTGCAAGAATGGCAGCCAGGGCTCCAACCCCGTCAGTATCGGAAAGGAAGAAGACCACTCCAGCACAGAAGGAGTGAATGAGCTCCTTGTAGAATTTCAAAGGCATGGTGTGAAATGACATCGGCTCACCGGACAATTCCGGTTTTTTTGGCGGATCACCTGCAAGGCCGCCGCCAGCGAGCACTTTCGCTTTTCCCGCCTCATATTCCTTTTTCTTTTCAGGTGATACCAACCATAGATTTTCAAAGCTGTCCATGATGACTGGTCCAATGGATGTCGAATAATTGGAGCCCCTGTAGAGTCTTGTACGTGCCTCTGGCAAAACACGTGCAACCCTTCGTGCACCTGCACAAGCCCACGGCTCACCATCTTTCGTGCTCGCATGCTTTTTTCATCGTAATGTATCACGAATTCTGTCCTGGTCTTCCCTTCGAAGTGGCACCCATCATCGCGGACAAAGCATGTCATAATTGAGGTTGAAATCATTCGGGAGCCATCAAGAACTGCACATATCTCATCTTCATCAAACTGCTCTTTGTTTCGAGCTGTGCAGAATGATTGCACTACGTTCCTGAGACCTGGAGCTCGAAATTGAGGAAGCCTCAAGTGCGGTTGTGAAGACGATTCTCCACAGGTCTTCGTGTCCAGCACTATGAGTGCTGTTGTGCCCTCAGGCTGCTTCTTGGCAACAGCTGTGTCTGCAAGTGCCTGTGTAAGCTCGGCTTTGCTCTCACATTCAGGGATCCACTTCACAAATCGGTCAACCAGCTCTGCTGCCTCTTCAATTTCAGCCTGAAAGGCTTGCTCAAGGTCCTCAGGGCATTGCTCCACCCCCTCTGGCAAGAAGGCAACTAGGTCATCATCATGAACTTTCGCCTCTTGGACTTCTTCGTCCTTCCTCTTCAACTTGTGGTTTACAGCATCAAGTGCGTCATCAACCCCCTTGAGCATCTCATTGTAGGGCTCCTTGGCAAAGATGTCCGGAGGCGCTGAGGATCCTTTCAAGATGTTCTTGAGGGTGTGATCGTGCTGGGCGCTGAAGATCGCTTTCTGGCAGGGGGCTCGATGAAAGAAACTGACAATCAACCAATGATTATAATAATCAAAGAACACCAAGAAACTGATATGCCAAAAGGGAAATAAACCTAAGGGTTTGGATTGGATGTGGGACCTTGCCTTCATGATGTCCACAGCCAATCGAACAACTTCATGTTCTGTTCCCAGCCACGATTTGTCAGGCTGATCTGCATTGCGAGAACCAGAGCCTGAGCCAACCTTTTCACGAAAAGCTGCATGGGTAATGAGACTCCGGAGGGTATCGATCCAATCACATGGGCAATTCTTAGACTGTAAGTGCTCGAGAAGCCAAAGCACCATCTTCCGTTTGGCTAGGAAAACATCAAGCAGCCCGCGGTTATTGGGTGAACCTTGCAGAGCTCTCGTGGAGAGGTCCTTGTTCGTGTACTCCTTCAATACAAAGATGTAGTCCCTGATGGACTGGATCATCCAAAGCTGCTCAGCCTCCTTGCCCTTCATGCAAATGAGCTCAAGAACCCTGAGGTAATTGAGACAGGACGCTTTTCCAAAGGCCATGTCCATCTCCATGATTGCCTTGGAGACAGCTGGGTAGCATAGCATCCTGTCGTGCACTTTGAGGGCGGTGTCAACGAAGGCGAGGTCCATCTTGTCGACAAGGGCGCTTCCAAGGTCTGCCACCTTCATTTGCCAATGATCAGCGATTTCCTTCCTTGATCCAGCAGGTAAGAGCTCATCACGGAACTTCACAAGCTCTAGCACTGACTGGATGGTTGACCTTGTCAAACTGTCATAGGTGCTGATGTAGCGTTGCCTCAAGTTGATGCCCTTCCAAAACATGGCCTCATAGCTATCCACAAGCTCCACGCGCATGGACACACTAAGTAGCACTTGCTTCCATTGCCTTGGCGCTGACAAACATCAATTTGGACTCTGGAAACACACAACTTTTACGTGATTTCAATATAAACTAGTGCATCTCCTCAATAGGTGAGCCTTCACCTTTTAACCATAACAGGGGAGAAAGTGCAATCAGGACACTGAAGTTTGGCATCACCATGACCCTCTTTGATCAAATCTGCGATGTACATAATCAATGAATGGTCCAGTTCTTCGGGAGAGATTCGGCGAAGCCTGCCCTGCACCTGCTGCCGCTGGAATTGATCCACCCCAACACCTTGCTCAAGTGCAATGACCACCTCCTCCCGAAGCTTCTCTGGACCAGTCGCCTCAAAGTAATTGAACTGGAGCTCTACGCTTTTTGCCGAGACAGGAACAGATGGGCTGTTCAAAACCCTCAGGTTGCACCAGAACAGGTTTCCTGCTGACACATAGGTTCCCGCAGTTGTAAGTGCTGACTCGTGCTCGGCCGGGTCCCATGGTGCCTGCCAGCCAGGCAAAAAAAAACAACAACAAAATCCCAATTTTTTTTAGCCAACAAATTTAAAATCTCAAAATTTTTTGGGACCCCCCTTAAAAAGGCAGCACATATGCACTGCCTCTCTCAAGCGGGGGATGCGCTGCCCCCTGTTGAGAGACCACAGGCATGATTGCGCATGACTGTTGAGCTGAGACCGGGCGTTTGCACTGTCTCTCTCAGACACCCTCCAAAAGTGCTTCTCAACAGGGGGCAGCGCATCCCCCCCTTGAGAGAGGCAGTGCATATGCACTGCCTCTCTCAAGGGGGGTCCCAAATGTGGAGACAAACACTAGAAACCTTATTTTCATTGAGCTGTGCATCGTGCGCGCTCAGGGGTGTATCGTGCGCGGGTGCATCGTGCGCGCCCGATACACAGTTGGGCGCGCACGTTGCACAAAGAACCAAGCGCGCACGATACACAGGCGGGCGCGCACGTTGCACAAAGAATCAGGCGCGCACGATACACAGGTGGGCGCGCACGCTGCACAAAGAATCAAGTGCGCGCGATACACAGGCGGGCGCGCGCGATAAGAACCAACTGCGCACGTTACACCGTCTGGCGCGCACGATGCATGAATGACTATAGTAATACGCTGAAGACTTTTTTAAACATCATACTTTTAGGCAACATGAGGCGGGTGCACATGGATCCCTGCAAATAAATAAGACCTGGTAATGCCTTATCATCCCTTTGCCAAGAATGATCTTGCGATGCCTTGTCAGGAATGAGGGCGCTTTTGGTTCTAAGAGGTTTGGCATGATACACAGTTGAAAGCTATTCTTTGATGTCCATTGTTTGCTGAATTCGAGAGGTTGACCACTGTGAAAATCAAATTATCAGCTCTGAAACCTGATGATTTTAAAGCGCTTCTTCAGCACTGAAATTCAAAACTGTTGCAGAGCTGCACTGTGAAAATCAAATTATCAGCTCTGAAACCTGATGATTTTCAGGCGCTTCTTCAGCACTGAAATTCAAAACTGTTGCAGAGCTGCAAAATTGAAACTGCTGGAGACAACAAGATGGTATTAATGAAAACAATTTGATCGGTGCTCAAAAACCTGGAGAAATGAACGGTTGATCTGTGTGAGGAAGTACAATCAGTTTGAGTCTTCAAAAGCCTTCAAAAAATGCAATGAAACCAGGCCCGCATGCCGGCTTCACTGGCACCAGCTGTCTTGTCGATCTTGAGCGGGCTCTCGTGCATGATGTTGCTGAAGAGAGGATGGCTCAGAATCGTCTGGATGGAACCCTCCAGCTTCTGAAGGTGTTCGCGGTTCACCTCCTGCACCATTTCCAAAGCCTTGGCCTCCTGAACTGGAGCCATTCCGCCAGTTGCCTCGGCAGCCTTGTCGTCTGGTGCCAGTAGTGCCTTAGCCTTGGCGGCGGCCTTTGTTTTTGGCTTTGCTTTGGCCTTGGGCGCCATGATACCAAGCTGCTTCAGACAACCCAAAGCCCAAAGGTCACTGCGATATGAAAGCATGTCTCAACTCAATGCCAGGAGCGCTTTGCAGCACCTTGAGTTTAAGTGATTTTCCAAAATTAAAACAGCAGCGCTTTTGCAGCACCGAATAAAACCCTTGGACACCGTCTTGACATTCCCTGAACGTGACCCCTCACTGCCTGCAAGCGCGCCAACCAATGCTCCATGCCAACGCCTCAATCGTAAAAATTCAGCTTTGGCAAAATCAGAAGCAGAATGCATCAAATTGTTGCTGTGTGTGGCGCTTGTCCAGCACCCAGTAAAATAATACAAGAAACAGCAATAATCATGTACATGCTTGTGAATGCGCTTGTCCAGCACAAACAAACAACATCTATCGCATTTTTTGCACTCTAGCCACATGAAACATCAAGCCACGCTAAGCCATCCCAACCCCTTAGGCTCAGCATGGGCCCTCATGTGAAGTTGTACACGCAAGCCACCTTCTGCAGCCATTGCAGAAATTCAGCTTGGCTGAAAACGTTTCTGCTGCCGTTGAGAGCCCTTGCCTCGGCAGCTGTCCCCAAAGCGATTGTAGAGAAGGTATTTTTTCCATCCTTTTCACATCTCGCCGCAAACTCCTCCCAGGAATTCAATGGTGTCCATTGAGAGAGCCTGTGACTGCACGCTGCATCGATGACTCGAGAAATTCGCGGGCAGCGTTCTCTGAAGGCTGGTGATACCAAGACTCGCCTCCTTGTCCGCACTGCTGGGTCATAAGCAAACGTTGCCCCTCGATTTCAGACTCTCGCTGGTCGACCCTGGGCTTGATATTGAAGGTGGGTGTAATCACTCACGAATCCACCCTGAAGGACAAGAGTCTAATGGATCGTAGGCGGAGGTGTGGCGGGGTCCTTGACCACAAAGAACAATGCCTCACTGACCTCGGCTGTGTAGATGAACCTCTTGAAGTCTTCAGCCCATGCTTCGTCCTGCACCCAAACCTTGTGAACGCTCTGGATCTGAGGTGTGGATCGACTAAGTTTCTCACATTGATTCAATTTTGTTCGATCTCTCTTCTTGTCAGCCAAATCTTGGGCTTCTAGGAAAGCCTGCGCAGTTTCCTGCATGTCTTCGGGAATCTCACTTTGCAGCAATACCCCGTCCAAGAACCCTTGAATCTTGTTCTTGAACTGCTTCTGTTGTTGGAAGGTAATTTCCAGCTGGATGGATTCTGACGCATCAATCAGGTCTGAAGCTGCGCAAGCTGCTCGCTCTTTGACATCCGATAAAGACTTTGAGCCTGCACTTGCCACCGCCGCCCGCCGTCTGGCAATGAAAGCCGTCTCAGTCGTAGAATCCTGGAAGCATACACAATTGTTTAAAGTTAAGTCAAAAAAGTGCAAAAGGTAACCACACACACTACAATTAAGTAAGCCAGCAAAAACAATAAATAAATATATAAAGTTGCTCAAAATCAATCCAGCACACCACCCGCTTTCGCTTCACACCCGTGTCCAGCCGAGAGGTGGCTCCATTGCGAGGCGCTCCATAAAGCTGAGCCCAGATTGTTGAAGCTGTACTGAAAACTTCAGGACCAATCCGATCACAATCCCACAACATTTTCAATTCCAACCGTTTGTTTTGGTCAGATAGGCACCTCTCACACTTGCGAAGCTTGGCGAAGACTCTCTCCACCCCACTTGTTGTGCAGCCATCCCAAGCCCCAAGCCTCATCACAAGTTTGGAAAGGTTATCAGTTGGATGAGATGTCCTGGAGCGGCGGCTCACTTGCCTGATGACTCAAAGGAGTTGACAGACGCAAGCTTGCTGTGGTGCATCGCAATCGGCCTTATGTCCAGGAACTCATGAATGAAATTTTCCTCATTGACTTCTGGGAATGCGGCGCACAACCGGTGGGCAGCATCTCGAATATAAGCCATTCCTTCCTGGCCCACCTCGGAATCACGACTTCGGGCGTTCAAGTTGAAGATGCTCATGGCACACATCAGGCTAAAGCCTGGAAACTCTGCCTCCACGGTGTGTGTGAGCAAGGCTACCCATGCGTGCATTTCCTGCAGCAAAAGAAAAGATGATTTCATGACAAAACTGCGCAGCACTGAACAGGTTATGTTCCTGAAATAGGATTGAAAAACAACACAACTGTAACTGTGTCCTTGAACCAATTCTGAGGTGTGGCGCTTCTCCAGCACCCAGATTGAAACACAATACAACTAGCTAATTATAACTAATTATCACTTATGACAATGCTGATATATACCTCGTCGTATACACATACCAATAATTGTGAAACAGTAAACGACGACAACCCTGTTCCTGCAGAGTTTCTTGAAAGAGCGCGTCTGTCATCCGATCGCCCTCAATTGACCGGGGGCCGGAGGCGGTCAAAAAGGCGGTGGGTGTTCTCAATGTCTGGAGCATATACTCGCAATATCCAGAATGCCTACATTGGCCGTCCAAGAACAGAGATGACACACGGCTGATGAACTGTTGGATCTCTGCAAGCAAACTAGCCATGTCCCAATCGCCCTGATCGAGAAAACGCACCAGGATGCTAACTTCATCACTGGCATCAGCCAGCATCGACAACAACAGCAAACGCTTTTCGCTGATGTATTGCAGGAATTGCTCTGCCCTCGCGCCGTCTCGTTCGCCCTTCCTATGTGTTGATGCAAAGATTGCCGTGGAGATGAAGGCTTTGGCATAGAGGACAAATCTGCCAGTGGGTCTCTGACAGCTGTCGAATCGGTGTTTTCTAAACTGAAGGTTCCGCACGCGTTTGTTGTCGTGCATCTTTTTGCAAAATTCAGCAAAGGCTGATCCCAGCACATCTGAGAACTGCAGCGTGCATGTCATGGAGTCACCCCTGGTGATGAGGGTGGAATGCACTTCATGTATTTCTGGAATGGCCGCAAATGGGCGCGATAAAAACCGCCTCACGCAATGTGTCGGATCCTTGACTACCATCTTTGTGGACTCGAACATGGTGGAGTCAGCTCGCATCAACCTCAAGGCCAATTGTTCATCGGCCGCTGCATCTGCAACCAACACTTCCTTGGATGAATGCGGTAACAAAGGGCGGCCAAAATTCTTATTTTAGCTTTTCCTTTCAAACATTCAATCACCGCCAGACTCCCAAAAACAAAGCTACAAAGGCAACATGATTGATACAAGCTGCAACCTTTTTTCCGAATCACATCGAAATAGGCCTGATTTCCAGCACACGCTGTGCGAAGAATATCCCTCGTGCACTTCTGCAAGCTCTCCATTTCGGCTGGGGGAATTGGGCAACAACCAAGAAAGCCCCGGACCACCTCAAGGCTCTCGGAGCAAGCGCTGAAAGTCACTACCAAGAGCCCCTTCGACACATCCTGGTGAAGAACTATTGATGAGGATTTTTCCAGGAGGAAAACCAAGTCGATAGTGTCACAGGCCGTGCCAACACAGCGCTGCATCTGAGTCATCTTCTTTCGCCCCCCAAGTCCAGGTATGTGGAAGTTCAGGGACGATCGCATCTTTCCTAGCCCAAACAAAATGGCCCAACTCAATCAAACATATGTCAAGCAAAAGTTCTCGCCGATGGTCAAAGCAAGTCAAAAGAATTGAAAAAACTCAAACCCCGACTAAAAAGCATATTTCTGACCAAAAGTCTTTCCTGCGTAAACTTAGCAAAGTCATCCTTGCTGGGGGCGTCAAGAACGTCTTCACCATGAAGTACTTTCTGTGCCTTTTCATGGGCCTTGCTTTTGGCATGCCGCAGCACACCGCTAAAGCCCCCAGATCCATCAAAGCCCATGGATGCAAAAGTTGATGAAGTGGTTAACCCAGCCTTGATGCAAAGTTGGCAACCAAGACCCCAAACTAGCTTATTCTCATCACCGGGATGCTTCCACATTTGGTCAATAAGCCATGGCATCCGCTTCCTCCAAAGCTTCATATTTCGGAGGTACAGGCATCTAAAGCAACTGTCATCGTTGCAGGACTTCACATGTTGAATGTGCGCCTCGGTCAGCTCCATGACAGGCTGCAGGTCACTACTTGCATGTCAACAGGCAAACAAAAGTTTTCCATGGCGCTGCAATCCGAATGCTTCAGTTCTTTTTTTGCAAAGAATATATTATAGCTTTGGTGGCTTTTGCGTCTTAACTTAAGTTATAAGTACCTTTTCGTGTAGTACATAATGCAAACATTGGTCCAAAATGGCACCTAAAACAGCACATGGGTGCAACATGAAACTGCTCAGCACACTTGTTTAACACAAGTGTGAAGCATTGAACTAAGAAAATCATTGTTGTAACTGATCCTGGCGGGCCGAGTTTCCAGCCTCAGCTCACCGCCCGCAGTCACCGCGCCAGACCTGAAACTCTTGGCTTCAAAACGGTGTGAACATTCCAAGACCTTCTGACAAGGGCGCTTCCCCAGCACCACCTCAGACAATACTAAAATAATATT